CCCCAAAACCCCAAAACCCCACTTTAAAAATCATTGCTCAGAATTAGATTGGCATTATAAATAAATATATTTTCAACTAGCAATTTAAAAATGACAAGTTTTTCAGGCTTTCAAAGAAAAAGTAAATATGCGTTTGACATCGACAAGTACCTGGAGTTAGCAGCTAAGGGTGAGTGACTCGAGGAAGTTGCTATAAAGATAATATGTGCCAAGGTCAAAGAGATATTAGCGGTAGAAGACAATGTTAAGCAGGTCTAATCCCCTGTTACTGTGGTTGGGGATGTTCACGGATAATTTTACGATTTGATTGAACTGTTCAGAGTAGGAGGTGAAATTCCAAATACTAATTATTTATTCCTAGGTGACTATGTCGATAGAGGTAATAATAAATTGGTTTTAATGTTTAATAGGTGCTTTTAGTGTGGAGACTATAACTTATCTTATGCTTTTGAAACTTAGATTTCCATTGAGGATTACACTATTGCGCGGAAATCATGAAACTAGATAGATTACTTAAGTGTATGGATTTTACACTGAATGTATTCGCAAGTATGGCAACCCAACTGTATGGCAATTATTCACTGATTTGTTTGATTACCTTCCAATCGGTGCAATAATCGATGATAGGATATTCTGTGTCCACGCTGGACTATCTCCTACAATCCAGCATATAGGAGACATTAAGGACATCAAGAGATTCTAGGAAATTCCACATGAAGGCCCTTTCGCAGATTTAATGTGGTCTGATCCTGATACTGACAATAGTGGATTCACTTTATCTGCCAGAGGAGCTGGCTATATGTTTGGTTAAGATGTAGTCAACAGATTTTTGCATGAAAATAACATGAGCTAGATTTATAGAGCGCATTAGTTGTGTATGGAAGGATATTAGACTTTGTTTGATGGTAAATTTTGCACAGTTTGGAGTGCACCGAACTACTGCTATAGGTTCGAGAACCTGGCAAGCATACTTGAACTTGATGAAAAGTTAAACATGTACTTTAACATTTATTCTGATGCGCCTGAGAATGAGAGAGCGAAAGAAATCGAGAATAGCTAATTCGGAGGAAGAAATGATGATAACTTTTTCATTTGATTGTCTCACTAACTTAGAATTATAATTATTATACTGGTTTATTTCACTAATATTCAAATTGCTTAGATTGACTTGAGATTTTGGATTGAGGGGTTTTGGGGTTTTGGGGTTTTGGGG